AGTCACAGCGTGATGATTCGATTTCTAAAACATGGATTAAGACTCTTTGTGGGCACTAGTATACATGCAGTTCTTATTCCTTGGCCTGTTGGGGGCACATCCCTCGATTAACCTCTCTCAGGATACGCTAGGAATGGGGTGGAACGGTGAGAGATGCTTAAAGTTGGGGTTCAACTATTTTTTTTTTTTTTAAGTCAAAACAACACAATACATTTACACACGGTCAACATATCTCTCTCTCTCTCTCTCTCTCTCTCTTTTAGTTGAGAGAAGAGATAGAGTCAAAGCAAGAAATTCAGATTTTTTTTAAAGCTTGTAAGTGAATGTACAAGTTGGAATTATTTTACTCCATTCATTGACCCAACAAATGGGTATTGGATTAACTTTAAAAAGAGATTAGATTACCAAAAGGATTCAGATCAACCATCGTTGGATCTTTAATTTCAGACAGTTTTAATTATTTACACATACATATATAGCTTTTTTTAAATCAGTAGGATTTTAACTTCTATCCAATTAGGGTTTCTTTTAAAAATCAAAAATTGTATGACACTAAAAGCTGTATAAATTATCTTTTTTCATATTTAGTTGTTGTAGCACGTGAAACTACGTATAAGTTGCATCAACAAAATTAATCACCCAAAATACCTCGTGTTATCATCTATATACATATTATGAATACCGTCGATCTCATCGATCCTCTGTGAAAATATGGATAAATATTGGTGAAAGTTGTAATTATTTATTTATTCTTTTTCTTTTTAGAAATCAATACCATTTTCATTTCCCTTTTATTTATTTATTTATTTATTTATTTTGGTTTCTCCCTTTCTAATTAGTCAAAGTCAAAGAAGACTAACGTGTCAATCTGCTTGGAATTAAATTGTGCCAAATTGGACGATATGGATTACAACATACATATACGAATAATGCTAAAACAACTCCACTAGAGTTACAACCCCAATTTAGATGGTGCTAGATAATAGGCTGAATAAAAATGTGAAACTAAATGATTTATTTAATTTCACTTATCATGTAATGTCATATTAACGCTACCTAAATTAAAATTATAATTTTAGTGGAACTAAATATCAT